GTGGGCGGCGGGATGAGCGGCACGGGCGCCAGGGCGGGCCACCGCGCCCAGCCGGTGGTCAAGAGCGTGCTGGTCTACCGCAACGGGGACCCCTTCTTCGCGGGGCGCCGCGTCGTCATCCACGAGAAGAAGGTGTCCACCTTCGACATCTTCTTGAAGGAGGTGACGGGCGGCGTCCAGGCGCCCTTTGGGGCCGTCAGGAATCTCTACACCCCACGGACCGGCCACCGCATCCGTAAGCTAGACCAGATCCAGAGCGGCGGCAACTACGTGGCCGGGGGCCAGGAAGCCTTCAAGAAACTCAAGTGAGTCTGTCCGTCCCGCCGCCCGTGTCTGCGTGCGCGAAGGTGTGCGGTCGGCGCCGGGGACGCACTGACCCCCCAGCTTCACCCAGAGCGCAGGGGCCGAGGGGCCGGGACCGCGCGGGGTGCCGCTCCCAGCCCCCCGCAGTTGGGGCTACAGGTTAGAGCGTGACTGGAGAAGGGCTTCCCCTTGGGGAGCAGTAGGAGCAATCCTAAAGCTTATGTGTAAGCGGAGGGGGGGAAAAAAAGTGACCCAACGGGTACTTGTGCATTTTCCGTTGTTTTTCTTTCTCTCTCCTCCCCTCCCCCCGCCACTTTTCTTGGAACCTGTCCTTTTAGTTAAAATCATTTTTAACTTTGGATACTGTATAATCACCAGAGGAGAAAATTGCTCTCTGCACCCACCCTCCCTCCTTCCAACCTTCCATTCCAAGTGGAGCTGGCCGCGCCCCACTGACCATCCTCCAGCTCCCGCATGTTTACGCCATTGGCACAAGGCTTGGAAGCGCGGATGGGCTGCCCGCATTGGCCTGCGCGTCTGTGTCTAAGCACCTGAGGTCTAGGGGATCATCACTGCTGCTCACCCCCAGTTCCCGGCAGGGAGCTCACTCAGTGAATTAGCAAACTGGGTTTAGGTCTCCGAGGGCAACAAAGATGATGGAGACCTGACTCCTTGTCTTCAGGAGTTTGCAAGCTAGCAGGAGACAGACTCCATGCACACCAGTAACTTAATGTGGAGCACGGAGGAGTAAGTGCAATGAGAAAAACAAAGTTATGTGGGAGTTCAGACTTGAGAGATTATTTCTGGTATGGGCGGGTATTGTCGGACAGGGGGAACTTAATATTCCATAGGTTGTCTTTTTTTACAGATTTATGGAGATACAGTTCATGTAACATAAACCTCACCCATTTCGGTGGGTCCCAGTATAGTCATGGGGTTGTGCAACCATCACCACAAACTAATGTTAGAACATTTCTAACACTCCAAAAAGAAACCCTGTACCTCCTAAATTCCCCTTCTCCCCATCTTCTGGTAACATCTAATCTATTTTGTGTCTCTGTGGGTTTGTCTGTTCTGGATGTTTTCTATAAATGGAGTCATACAATATCTGGCCTTTTATGTTTCTGGATTCTTTCACCTCCCATAATGTTTTCAAGGCTCATCCACTCATCCATGTTGTAGTATGTATCAGTACTTTTTTTTTTTTTTATCGTCTCCTGAGGATGTTTTCCATTGCTTTTCAGAGAGTGGAAGGGGATGGGGTGGAGAGAGAGAAAAACATCAGTGTGAGAGAGACACATCGATTGGTTGCCTCTCGAACAGTGCCACGACTGGGGGCCGGGGATTGAGCTCGCTACTGAGGTATGTGCCCTTGGCCAGAATGGAACCCAGGACCCTTTATTCTGAGGTCTGATGCTCTAACCACTGTGCCAAACCGGCTAGGGCTCCTTTTTTTTTTTTTAAATCATTGAATAGTATTCCATGGTATGGATATATNGACCCTTTATTCTGAGGTCTGATGCTCTAACCACTGTGCCAAACCGGCTAGGGCTCCTTTTTTCTTTTTAAATCATTGAATAGTATTCCATGGTATGGATATACCACAATTATTTACCTATTAATGAGTTGATGGATATTTGGATTCTTTTGCTTTTGGTTAGTATGAATAATGCTGCTATGGAAAATCATGTACAAGTTTCATTTCTCTTGGGTATATACCTAGGAGTGGAATGGTTGGATCATATGGAAACTCTATATTCCATAGTTTTTAATATAACATTTTAATTAAAAGTCAGCTTGGGCTCAGGATAACAAAAAAAGAAGTTAAGAAAATCTTTACCATAAAATCTGTGCTTGTGAATTCTGATTTTAACTGTATAGAAATATTTTCCTGAATAGTATGAAAGTTGTTTAATATCATCCTTCCTTTCCTAAGTTTGTTTAAATTGAGTCCTAGGTGTTCTGCTTTTGTTACGCCAGACATTCTTTTTATGGGAGGCGAGGGATACATTTGGATTTAGCTTTCTCTTTCCTGACCCTCTTTTAGTATTATTTGTCTAACTTTGTGGAGAATAGCTAAACGCAACTGTGTGCTTCAGAGAAACTTAGAACTTAAAACTGAAAATCAGGAAACTTGAGACTGAGCTGTTTATCAGCTCCTTGGGCAAGCCACTGGACTCAGCTGGTCAGTTCCCTCATAGAGAAAAGGAACATCATTTCTGCCTCACAGGACTGTGATAAAAAGTAAATGCTATGGATGCGAATGTGTTTTGTAAACCCCAAAATGTTACATAAATGTAAAGCATCGCTGTGCCCAGTTCCTTTTATCATATTCTTTATTTTCATTAAATAATTTTCATATAAAGCAATTTCACAGAAATGAAAATCTGCTTCAGAACCTTCTAACAGCTCAAAATTGTAGACTCACTTTAGTAATTCATATTCTCTTTTGTTTATTTGGCAAGAGCTCAAAAGATAAAAACAGNAAAAGTAAATGCTATGGATGCGAATGTGTTTTGTAAACCCCAAAATGTTACATAAATGTAAAGCATCGCTGTGCCCAGTTCCTTTTATCATATTCTTTATTTTCATTAAATAATTTTCATATAAAACAATTTCACAGAAATGAAAATCTGCTTCAGAACCTTCTAACAGCTCAAAATTGTAGACTCACTTTAGTAATTCATATTCTCTTTTGTTTATTTGGCACGGGCTCAAAAGATAAAAACAGGTACAGTTTCAAACCAAACAGAAGTTGCACTTCAAAATCACTCTTTATATATAAGAGATTTGCATGGTTATTTTTGCTTTTAATTCTACATACACAAAAATCTGAGCGTGTTATAACAGTGTCCATGATTAATTTTCCACGCTGACAGATGAATAATTTATTTGTGTCAGAGTAGTAGTATCTGTGGTTATACCAATGGAAGCCAAAGAGATTTAAATGCTGAATATATTTGAAGCTTAGCAATTGTAAGTTTATATAACAAATGAATCACCTGGCAGAACAAAAGAAAGTCCAAAAGATATCAAGGATAAATTCATGCCATTTAGAGCCTAAATGATGTTGCAGAAGGTAGCAATGGCTGAAAAATATCTTTCAAATGCAAATGATCAACTTTCTTCTTGAAATTCTTCTACTCAGATTTTTTTCTAATATTTTTGAAGGCATAATGAAACTTTAGGTAGCTATTTAACCTTTGTTTTCTAGCAGAGAATTCTAGAGATTGCTATAGTCCCTGTGCATTTTTGGAAGTTGACTCTACTAGATTAATCTTGTGGATCTGAGATCACTTTTCTGCACATGACAGAACTTNGGTAGCAATGGCTGAAAAATATCTTTCAAATGCAAATGATCAACTTTCTTCTTGAAATTCTTCTACTCAGATTTTTTTCTAATATTTTTGAAGGCATAATGAAACTTTAGGTAGCTATTTAACCTTTGTTTTCTAGCAGAGAATTCTAGAGATTGCTATAGTCCCTGTGCATTTTTGGAAGTTGACTCTACTAGATTAATCTTGTGGATCTGAGATCACTTTTCTGCACATGGCAGAACTTTTTTTTTTAATGTCAGAAATCAGTCTCTGCAGATTTGCAAAAGAGGCATTTATTGCTAAACAGAGGGAGTATTTGCACTGCCATATGTAAATACTGTTATGTGAGGGAAACATATGGTAATTTCCAGAGGTATGNTTATGTGAGGGAAACATACGGTAATTTCCAGAGGTATAGATTAACAAAAGCATTCTATCCAAAAAAAGCAAACAACAATAATGAAACATAGCCAAAATTAATTCTAATATAAACTTTTTTTTTTGGCAACTCAGCAATTATGGTAGTTGAGGTAGAGAATCTACCTACCTCTCTCTCTCTCTAAGGTTGTAAATTAAGTGCTAGATTTATACNACAATAATGAAACATAGCCAAAATTAATTCTAATATAAACTTTTTTTTTTTTGGCAACTCAGCAACTATGGTAGTTGAGGTAGAGAATCTACCTACCTCTCTCTCTAAGGTTGTAAATTAAGTGCTAGATTTATACTTATTTTTATATTAAATCATTTATTTAGCACCTTCTATGTATGAAGCACAGTGGAACCAGAGCACAGTGATGGACTTACAGCTTGAAGCTGACACAGCTATAAAATTTTCAGGTTGTGCTTATGCTATAGCTAAAGAATGATCACTAGTTAGTATATGTAGCAAATTTTAATGAAATAATAGGGGTCTCCAAAGGTTAACTCATCCACCCATCTGTCAGTTGAACCAATTACTAAACCGTCCCACATGGCTGAGCGTTTCTGTATCATTAAAGTGCTCTCATAGGGAAAAGATTTCCCAGCATTTCACAGTTCTTACTCTAATGCATGCCACCAGTAAAGTCTGTGATTAATAGAACTGTTAAGTGGCTTGACACACAAACCACTTTTTATATCTAAATTGATATGAGAATTAGAAATGCCCTATATACAGTTAGTAGCTAACCATTGTGGGGGGGAAATGTTCCCCAGTAGAAGTATGTATTCTAAGACTTCATTTACATTGAAGTTTAGAGTAGACATGTGTCAGCTCTGGTTGGCAATGCTGAAAGCATTTTCTATTATTATAATTGTTTTTAATGAGTAGCTATTGATTTTTGCTTTAGGCTTAAGTATTTCCTATGGCTTGCTTTACTATTTAATAATTTTTAAACATTTATCTTTCTTGTTGAAAGTATTACAGATGTCCCTAGTTTTTAAAAAGAAATTTATGCAGCTGACTCGAATACAATAGAAGAAATCCTTACTGTTTGTTTGTTTTTCACCGCAGTTACTTGGACATTGGAGAAATCAAGAAAAGACCAATGGAAGTCGTTAATACAGAGGTAACACAAGTAATATTTTGAAGGTTCAAGTACATAATAGGGACATTTTTGTGTTTCTTATGCTGTGTCTAGATTTAGATGGCATTCTAAGCATAACCGATAAGTTGTCTAATGTTTACAAATGGGACATTATATGTCTTAAGGCAAAGATCCCTCTGTCTTTGGAGCATTATCAGAAATGAAGAGATTGAGCAGCTTTCCTAAAGATGTAGGATTAGACATAACATGTTCTTATTGTCCTGCTTTCTAGCTATGTGTTCTCTGGTTGAAATCCATAGAAATTTTCCTTGCCAAGTGAAGAGATTGTGAGCACCATCGTACCAATCTTTACCAATACTACTCCCCCTGTGCTCAAGTGCTTCTGACAGCCCTGTGTCTGAAATAGCCATGATCACCCTGATGGCCCCAAGGCTTTCAAAGGACCCTGCTGGGCTTTCCCTGAGGTCAGGAAAACGCCTCCATTTTAACTTGCATTAAAGTTCACTTGAGTGTAATCACCAGAAGCTTGCATATGAGTCTTGTGAGATAGATATTCAGAGCACTTCTTTCTATATAGCTTCTGAACCCCTAGTGGACAGATTCTTTAGTTTGTGGATGAAAAATAGATTAAAACAAAGTTAAGACAACAGCTTTAATGTCCTGGTGAGACAGAGTTCAACCCAGACTGGGACTCTGTTCTCCAGCTCAGACTTTTCCCTCTTCCCAATTTCTTTTGTTGTTGTTAATTCTCACCAGAGGATACTTTTTCCATTGATTTTTAGAGAGAATGGGAGGAAGAGAGAAACATCCATGTGAGAGACATCGATTGGTTGCGTCCCTCATGTGCCCCAACCATGGCCTGGGATTGAACCTGCAACCCAGATTTATGCCCTTGACCAGGAATTGAACCTGTAACACTTCGGTGAGCGGGCCAATGCTCTAACCACTGAGCAACACCAGCCAGGAGCCCTCTTCCCCTTTTGACCCCACATAAACAAGTGCTTCCAAGGGTGTGCTCTGACAGGCATGAAATGGCTGATAGAAAAAGGAGGTTTTTTTTTTCCTCATTTGTGGTACAGAGCCCCAGAGAGACTCCTCAACTCACCATTTCCTCTCACATCATTTTTATGCCCAATAGGACCAAGTTGGTCTCTCTAGAAAAAAACAAAACATAAAACTACGGAAGCAAAAATTCTAATTGAGCACTATTTGAAGAATGTGAGATTAATTTCATTATTCAGATAATTTGTGGAAAGAGGTGCCAATCCCAGACATTGTTTAAAATAATTAATATTCTTGTTTGTAAGTTGGTTTTCAATGTGCATTAAACTGCTTATTAGTGCAAGTGATCAGCTTTTGACTTAAAGTAGACAAAGATAAATGATTTTTATGTTGTGCTTATGGTATAGCGAAAGAATGTGCACTACTCACTATCTGTAGTAAGTAGTAACGAAAAGGGCAGATTAGTGAATTAGTTTTGTATATAATTTTGTTTGAAGGATACACAACTGTTTGAGATAGGCTACCTTGCATGAAATTGGTGACTGCACCCGAATTTCTGCAATAGGATTTGAGATGTGTGACTTCCCCCAACATGTGAGCATATGTTTACTCTGGATTCCAGTGTCTTTGATGACGAGATTATGCCTGGCGATGTGCAACAGGTGTGCAATCCATTTTCCAAATATATGTTTCTTTACAGATTATGTTTAGTAATGGCAGCATTCACAAGGACTCAGGTTAATTTAATTTGCTAAGTGTTCTTCCACTTTGGGACAGTAGCTGTTGTTTTTTTCTTTACTTTGGGCCCATGCATGAACCACACAGACAAGTTTCTGATATATGAACATACATCTTATAGTGCAAAACCCACCACTTATCTCCAGCGGGAAGATTGTATCTCTCCCACTTTATTTCTTCCTGGTAATTCCCTCCCCTTCTCCTTTCCTCTTACTGCACCGACACTGCTGTAGCCTTTCATTTCTTCTCAGTCCTTCCCCAGAAAGCCTTCTGAAGAGGAGAAAAAGAAGTGAAGAAATTTGGGATGCAAAGGAAATGGGAAGAGGTGGCGAAAAACTGCTTGTCCATGCTTTTCAGCACCTTCCCTCACCTGCCCGAGCCCCCTGCTCCCACTTGCTCCCCCAAGCCCTCTCCCACCTCCCTGTTGTGTGCCCAAACTCTCCTCCCAGTCTAGACAGTGTGCTCACTTCCCTCACTTTTCATCCCCAGTCTGATGTTCAGTGCAGAGCCTCTCCTCCCCAGAGTCCACGCCATGGATGTACTCAAAGCCTGCTTGTGTGAGGAGAGCCTTGCCTTTGATTGCCAGAAAGGGAGAGTTTTGGGTTCTTGGCATCCCAAAAGGGAACTCTGNCCTTTGATTGCCAGAAAGGGAGAGTTTTGGGTTCTTGGCATCCCAAAAGGCAACTCAGTACATTTTCTCATAGATATCACTTTAGCTGTTGGTTCTACAGTATTATTACTGATGTTCTAAGTAAAACACAAGTTCAGAAGGCTTTCGTGGGCTGCTCTGAGAACCTTACTGTTGTGTGTGTCATTCTTACCATGGAGAAATACTTCTCTCTTTTCCACAACTTATTTACAGTCCAACTTTTAGAATTCACTAAGTTTTTAAGTTAGAGGGATATCTGTGTTCAAAATTTGAGAATAGACTCAGTGAACACTGGTCTTCCACAAAAATTATAGACTCTATTTTTTTAAATTTGAGATGGTGATTTCCTTTCAGCATTTGTGTCTACTGAGAAAAGACCACACACCTTGTTAAATACTGAGGATGACCACTATTCTTTGGAGTAAGATAATATATTTACTCTGAATCACAGGGAAGGATTCACAGAATTCTTTTGAAGTGGATTTAGAACATAAGCCATAGACTTGGAGGGTTTAGAGTTGTTTTGATGCAATAGTAGCACAGACAGTGTTTATTCAAAGATATTTCAGTATGAAGGGTAAGTAAAATTACTTATCAAAGTTGGGGTTATTTCTCTCAAACCTGAGTTAATTGAATACTGTTTGACTTACCAGTACAGGCGTGCATAATAAAAGCTGCCATCATCAAGTGTACATGATTCAGTTTTCCCAGCTGCTTAAAGCATATTAATCCTGACTATTCCCAGAACATGGTACTGTGGAAAGGCCTTTACAGGTGGATGGGGTTATGTAGAATGTGTGACACCGGGTCCCAGCCACTGTGGCTATGTTTTCAGAGCGACAGGTACTGCAGCCGGTGAGGACTGGGAGTTGGCAGCACCCCGTCTCCCCCCAGAGCACCCTCCCCCGGGTGCATCCTGCTTCCTGCTTGCTGTTTCCATAGTTAATAATTTAGACCCGGTGGTATCCACCTGCTGAGTGCAGGTCACGGTCACTAGAATGTGCATGTCACCTTGACACGTGAAGGCCTTCTGTGGTTCCTGTCATTGCTTTCCTTCCCATGAAGCTCGTCTTTGAAGAGACACTAACAGGACAGCCAGTCCTCTTCCTCTCCCTCCTTGCGAGTGGATCATTAGGACAGAGAAAGGCCAGACTCTGGGGGCTTCTTCCGCTAACCCAGGAGGAGCACGTGGTCTTATTGGGGCAGCGCTCCTGGCAGCAGGAGGGGAGGGAGGGGCGGGTAAAGGAGGGAGAAGAACAGAGGCAGGAGCAAGACAGATGGTGGTTCGCACTGGCCCCAGAGCGGGGCTGCCCCGCGTGCTCAGAGCAGGCCCCCTTTTCCCTCCCCGCCGGGCTGGCTTCTAGTGCTCAGATGAAGCGGTCTCCTAGGGACGCCTGTGCGCTCGCCTCTGCTCCTCAGTTGCCTCGCACAGCTGTATTTTCATCCTCCCGCCTCCCCTGCGGCACTGGTGCTTTTGCTGGAGATGGTTTTCTCATCTCTGGCCTCGGTAGCCCATCCCGTCTGTGTCTTTCCAGGCTCCCCCTCTCTGACGGAAGCGGTGTGCGGGGGCCTCTGTCCTTCTCGGGAAGCCTCTGAGATGCACGCGGGCACCTCCTTCCTTACCAGCCTAGCTGTGCGCGTCCCTTTCTGTCTGACTGATTTTTGTCTCCTTTCTTCTTCTTTTTCTGCCTTACCTGCTTGGCTTCCGTGTGATCGATGCCGGCACTGCTTAGCACGCTAGGCAGAGCGCTGGAGCGAAAATGAACAAGACAAGCAGACCACCCCACCTCCAGGGACGTATAGTCTTGATGAAAAGATAGATGTGTGCATGTCTCTAGTACCACATAATACGTGACTCGATTGGGCAGGGATTCAGTTCAGTTTGTGCTGAGCTTTTATTTGAAGTGCTTTTGACTTTATCAGGTTGCAACAAAGCCATTTGTGAACTCTTGAAATGGAAGCATCCTTCTTTCTTGATCAGAGTTGTAGATCCCGTCCGTCATCCCTGGCCTCCTGTCTCACCATGCAGTGAATCCTTCAGATTATGATATTCTTAAGTTGTTATCTAGAGTGCCAAGTCTGTTTTATTGTGTAAGAAGCCTTGGTACCCATTGTATACAGAGGGACAAGCAGGCAGCTTGGCTCCAGAGCACTTATGAGGTGCCTGGAGCCGTGCTGGGTGGCAGGCATGGAATGAATCCTTTATTGTTTTTGCTCTTTTAGAGTCTAGGGAAGGAGACAGGGAAATAAACCAACTATTAGTATCTACTACAACTATGATGTATAACAACTACTACAGGGCATGGATGCTGGGCTAGAGGGATTCTCAGAGGATTGAGAAGGTGCAGATGGGATTGGGGGGGTCAGCCAGTTTGAAATGGTTTCAAATATAATAGAATCTTTCATTTTTGGTCTGTTTCTTTTAAAGTTTTGAGAATGTTCCTTTCTACAACTTGATTAAAGGAGATGATTTAATACTTATATGTGTGAATGAGTCAAAAAGAGTAAAAATTGACTTGGAAGGAAAGAGACAAAGGCTGTCTTGCCATTCGCTAGGCTTGGACGACGATAGATACCGAGCAAGCCAGCTGCAAAGTTAGCAGAGAACAGCCCTTCTCTCCCAGCCATGCAA